GCTCGGCGCGGACGGTGATGAGGCGCTTCTGTCCATTTTGAAGTCCAAGGACGTCTACAGCGGCAGGCCAACGCCAGTTCGGCCGTACGAGCCGCACCTTTTGAAGATTCTCGACAGCGGCATTCGCCCGTTGCCCATCCGCTCGCTGGTGCCCGCCTCCATGCCCCCGCTCATCAACGAGCCCGAGAAGTTCATCTTCCGTTCCCAGTCGGTGCTGGATGGCATGGTCGAGTCGGGAGAGCTGCCGCCCGTCTACCCTTTTTGTGACGTCAACCTGCGGCGAAGCCCTGCCCTGCGGCTCGACCTCTTCAAGAAGCTCATGCGCATCGGCCTCGTCGGAGTACGTGCGCGGTGCCGCGCCCGTGCCAGCTTTTTTTTCGTCGGCAAGAAGGACGGTTCGCTGCGCATGGTCATCGACGGCCGCGAGCCCTCCGGCTTGCACCGTCGCCCTCCGCGGACCGAGCTGGGCTCCGCCGGGGCCCTCAGCGGCCTCTGCCTCGACTCGGACCGGCCGTGCGCCAGCGACGATGGCTACCACGGGGCTAGCGCGGACCTGCCCCAGGGCTTCTACCAGATGCAGTGGCTCGAGATCGGCAGCTGGTTCTGCTTCGACTTCCCGATGGCCATTCGCAATTTCGACACCGACTGCGTCTACGACGAGGTGAGCCAGACCTACCTTCAGGTGGAGCCTGACACCATCGTGTACCCGTGCTTCCAGGGGCTCGCCATGGGCTGGAGCTGGTCGCTCCACATCTGCAACGGCATCACCCAGGACGTCACTCGCATCGGCATCAGTCGGGCTCTAGGCGTCTCGCCCGACAGCGTCAGGATGGTCTCGGAGCGCGCCCCCAGCGCGCGGCTCGCCCCAGGCCAGCTGGCGGGCTCCTCGTATGTCGACAACGCCAACGTCGTGGGCTCGCCTCGCAGCCTGGTCAACGCGGCGCTCGAGGGCATCCTGTGCGAGTTTGAGCGGCAGGGGCTCTCCTATCACGAGGTCTGCTACGGGACACAGGACTTCGTGTGCTGCGGTGTTCGGTTCGACTTCACAGCGGGTCGGGCCGTCCTGCAGCGCGAGCGGGGTTGGCGACTCCATCCGGCGGTGACGGCCCTGTTGGATCGCGGCGGCTGCACGCCGGGGGCAATGGGGGTTCTGATGGGCCACATCGTGCACCACTTCATGCTCCTGAGGCCCGCTCTCTCGTACTGAGCTCGCTGTATCGCATCGTGTATTCTTCCCACGACTACTGCAAATTCGACGTCGAGCAACTGCGCGAGCTCAACCTCGTGAAGGCCCTGATTCCGCTAGCCGGCGTTGATCTCGGGGCTCCCTGGCATCCTTGGGCCTACTGCTCGGACGCCAGCCTCGAGGGCTACGCCGTGGCCACGTCCCGTCTCGACCCAGACGAGCTGATGGACATCGGCGCCTACCGCGAGCGCTGGCGCTTCCTGGCCGTTGATCGCTACGCTGATGACCCTGGGGGCCCTCCTGGCTCTGAAGTCGCCGTGCAGGCCGGCTTCGCCGCGGGCGCCGCCGACGACAGCCTCTTCGCCGGCATCGGGCAGCCGCCGCCGGGGCGAGGGGCCCCACGGCGACGCCGCCCGGCCAGGATCGAGGTTGAGGCAGTGGCCGCCGCTGCCGGCGGCAGCGGCATCCCGGCGCTGCCGGACGCGGCGCTCGCGGCCCACCGCTGGCAGCTCGTCGTGCGCGGCGCCTTCCTCTTCCCAGCGCCGATCCACGTGCTGGAGGGCCGGGCGACCCTCCTGGGGCTCAGGCGCGCCACTCGGTCGGTGGCCGCTCATGGGTGCCGCGTCCTCTCCATAGGGGACAATCTCTCATCCATGATGGCGTTCGAGAAGGGCAGGTGTGCCAACCCAGTCTTGCGCCAGCTGGCCTGCCAGTCCGCAGCCAGACAGCTCGCCACGGGGATCCAGCACTACCACCGCTACTCCGAGAGCAAGCGGAACCCCACCGACTACGTTTCCAGGGCGGCGGATCGGTTCGAGTTGGCGCCAGGCCAGACGCAGCGTGGAGCAGCCCGCGACCTGCGCGGGTGGCCCATCGGCCCGCTCGGTCGCCTCGCGTCGCCCGCGGTCGCGCAGGGCGAGCCGCTGGCAACCCCGCCAGTGTCGGCGCCGCCGCCCGCCCCGGGCCTGGCGCGCTCGCCCGCGCCGGCTGGGGCCGGGCCTCACCGCCTGCGGGCTCCGCCACGCAGCCGGCGCCGCGCCCGGCACGTCCTCGAGCTCTACGCTGGTTGCGCCCGCCTCACGGCCGCCTCGCTGGATGAGGGCCTTCGGTGCTGGGCCCCCGTCGACATCTCCAGAGGCGCGTGGCGCGACCTGACCAGCAGGAACGTGATCCGTGTCATCCGTTCTCTGATAGTGCGGCGGGAGGCGTGGCACGTCCACCTCGGCACCCCGTGCACGCCTTCCAGCCAAGGCCACGCCCGCGCAGGCCCAGGCCATGCATGCGGCCTCCGGCGCTGGCGCTGTCTCGTTCACCGTCGACCTGCTTCGTCTATGTGATCGTTTTGGCGTAAAGGGGTCGCTCGAGAATCCATCATCGTCACGTCTTTGGCAGTCCTCAGAGGTCACTACCTTCTTGGAACGTCATTGTCATTACTTCGTCAACGTGCATTACTGTCAGTACAACTGCCGCTACCTGAAGCCGACTACCCTGGTCACCAACCTGAGACCCCTCCAGGCCATAAGTGCTAGTTGCTCTCGTGATCATGTTCACGAAGTCCTCGCAGGCAAGGTTCGTCTGGGTCCTGGTCGGGGTTCTGCTTGGAGACCACTCTCGCTGGACGTTATCCGGAGGCCTTGGCTCGCAAGTGGGCTAGCATTCTGCGTTCATGCGCGCCTGAAGCTGCTTGTCTGGATGGTGCGCGGCCTGAATGCCAAGGGGAGGCTCGCCTGGCTGCCGCCGCCGGCTGCCGCGCCTGGGCGCCCACGCCCGATCCTGTCTGCCCGCCCGCGGGCCACCAGGAGTGGCAGCCGCGCCAGCTCGGCTGGGGCAGCAGCATCGCGCAGGCGCGTGCCGCCGAGCGCGACCGGCGTCGCCGTTTCAGCCAGGTCGGCGTCAGCGGCGGCGCCGAGCAGCTCGGGGCCAAGGCGCCCTCACCCCGGCATCGGGCAGCAGAGGTTCGCCCACAACGAGGTGGCCCACCGCGACTTCCTGGCGGGCCGCCGGATGAAGCCGCTGACGCAGCAGCACTACGGCCGCATGGCCGCGGAGGTGTGGCGCTTCGCGGAGGTGCTTCACTACCCGCTCGCCACGGCCACGCAGAGGGTCCAGCTCCTGGTGGGCTACCTGCAGGGCATCTTCGTGGCGGGGGTCGGCTACGCGTTCGAGGAGAGGATCGACCTCAGAGGCACGTCCGAGTTCGCGCAGGCCCGCCTGATACTCGGGGGCTGCTCCAGGGCAGCGCCTGGGAAGCCGCGGGACCCGTGCTCCTGGCAGACGGTGCTGCTCATGGTCGATCAGTGCCTCGGCTCCTCGTGGCCGCGCCAGCGGCTGGTGGGGTCAGCCGTGGCCGTGGCCCTCAACGGCTCAGTGCTGCTCAGCGTGAAGGCCCGCGTCGTCACGAGCCTCCAGCACTTCGCGTCGCCGGCCTACCCCCAGGTCTCGATCTCCCTGGTGCTCGCGGCGCCGCCAGACTGCCCCGAGACGACGAAGTCTCGCGAGTGCGACGGCAGGGCTATCGTCGGCGGCAGCGCGGCAGCGGCCGCCCCGCGGCGATGTGTGGCCAGGCCCGTCCGAGACCTCGAGAGGGCCACCCCAGCCGCCTGGCCGCTCTTCCCGTTCACAGCCCGTGAGTTCCAGGCCGCCCTTCAGCAGGCGCGGGGCACGGTCGGCGGCAGAGGTTGCGCCCCTGCCCCCACGCCCTGCCGCACGGCAGTGCATCGGTCGGCCACGTCCTGCTGGACCATTCACTCGGAAGGTGCGTCGTCACGGCCGCTGGACCTAGCGGGCCGCGAGCGTGAATCGGTATGAGAGGCCGGCCGCTTGGTCCGACAGCTGCCCAAGCCTCGCAGTGCTCAGTTGTCGGCCGCCGGCCTCGTGAGTAAAAGACTCGCCGCCAAAGCTTCTCTCGACTTTGGCCGCATCGTGACAAGGTGAGCCCAATATTGCCGCCTAGCTACCTTGAGGCCTCACCAGCTCCCAATACGGGAAAATATGGGTGCTGCCTGTCTGCAGTTTTGTTTCGTGCACGACTGTTTGATAGGCCTTGCTTCGTTGGCATACAGATTGGATTTGATTCGGCTCTCGGCCGAACGATGCTGCAAAAGATGTGACAATGATTTGTTGTGCAATCTTACTGGCTTCCGCCAGCGCCGCCATCTCTGGTCGTGCGTCCTGGGGGCCTTGCATAATATATATATATATATATACATATTTAATATAACATATATATATATATACACAAGACTTGAAGCTCGCTGCGCTTCGCTTGGAGGTCTTGGCACGATGCGCTGGCGTGCAGTGTGCAAGTGAAGTGCGACTATGCGGGCTGGAGCGTCGGCGATGGGCAGGGGCGGGGATGGGAAGGTCACGGGCGCATGGGCGTCGGCCCATGGAGTGCGCGCGCGCCGTGCGCGCGCGCCGAGTTGGCAAGGGGCGATGCACGCGACGGCCATCGGCGATAAGATTAGGCGGGGATGCAACGCCGAGGGCAGGGGAAGGGAGAGGGAGGCTTCGGATGAGGTGAATGCAACGAAAAGGGTGCTGGCAACGATGGTGGCCTCATACCTCTGCAGATTTGGGTTGGGAAGATCACGGGCGGCGACGCCGCGCAGTTTGGTGATGCTGTTTTTTTTCTCATTGAGTGCAGGGGCGATCCTGGCGTGGTGCTCTGCAAAATCGGAGCGGCGACGAACGGCCCCGAGCCTGCTTGAAAAAATCGGCGCGTAGCTCAGCGTCCCGGACTTCCCGAGAGGAAGCGTTCGCGCGCCTGGTGTGCAAATTTGCATGGCTCGGTGGGCGGACCCTGCAGGGCACCTTACTTCTTGGACATCTTCGCTGGCTTCTTGGCCACCGGGGCTGTCGGCGTCGCCGCTGCAGGGCGCTTGCGGGGCCCGCTGGGCTCTGCCGTGGGCGAAGGGCGCGCTGACGGCACGGTGTCCTGCGTGGGCGTGTTCGGCGCGTACGAGGCCCACGTGATGAACTGAGGGTACTTTTTGTGGAGGTTGAGCAGCGGGGTGAGCAACTTGTCCGGGACGTTATTCGCAACCAAGGAACAGAAGTTGTGAAGCTCCTTGACTGTCTTGTCGGTGCCGTCCATCATCTTGAACTGCCTGGTGCGGCTGAGGCGGTTGTTGGTTTTGGCTGAAGTGATCTTGAAGCTCGACTGTTTCTCATTCGCAGGGGCCTTAAAGTCGGCCTCGAAGTAGCTGTGCGTGGGAGTGTCCGCGGTGAGCTGGATGACGTGCTTGTGGGCGGCGGCGGCGGTGCGCGGGTTCAGTCCGAAAGCCACGCGCACGTGCGCCCAGCTCGGATTGGGGCCCCCCTGGCTGAACGCTCGTGTGAAACCGCACTGGGCGGTCTGAACTCCAAGAGGTGCTGGTGAGAGGTCGTGGACGGCAACGGCGTCTTTCCACAACGTGGTGAGTCCATGTATCTTGCGCTCGGCCCGGAAACGGAGGCTCGCGCCGTCTGCGATGGCGACGCGGATGCCGCTGGACTTGTGTTTGTTGATGCCCAAGAGCTCCACGTGGACGTGCTCAGTGTAGAGGGACACATACTCGCGGTTACCTGGCGCTTGCGCGCCTGCAGCGGGCGATGCTGCTGGGGTCGGGGTGTAGTCGTACGTCGCGTTGGACGTCTGGGGGGCCATCGTACGAGGAGGCGCGGCCGATGGCTGTTCAACGGATGGGGCGGCGACGTCGGGCGTACTCAGGACGCAGCTGACCCTTGAGCCAGATGCTGATTGATCAATGCAGAATTGACATGCGGTGTAGCACGAGCGGGGAAGGGCGCCCAGGACATGGGGACATGTGAAACTGGCCAGGGCATCTCTCGTTCGTCATCTGAGGCGAGAGTGGCTGAACATTGAAGTTCGGATCTCTCTCAGGCCCAAATTGCGATTACATCTGAAACGATACTGGACGACCTCCTCGCGCGCGGCACGCCTGAGCTCAAACGGGGGGGGCTTCTTAGGCGAGACTGGCTGGACTTACTTTATGTGGGGGGCATTTCTTATCTCGGAAGTCGTTTGGGTGTCTCAGGCGAATCTGGCTTGGAAGTTGCCGGGGTGTCTCGGCAGTTGCTGGGGTGTCTCGGAGTTGCTTGGGCGTCTGCGCGCGCCATCTCTGCGCCACAGTTGGCAGGAGTAATCAAGTGAGACTGGCCAGGCCACCTCAAGTTAGCGGCATTTTGAGCCCAGAGATGGCAGGATGTTACAGGCGGAACTGGCCGGGGCATGTTTAGCGCGGCATCTCTGGACGCAGAGTTGCGAGGACGTCTCGAGCGAGAATGGCTGGACCACTTCAGGTCCGGACATTTTTCAGGTCAAAGTTCCGATCATGTCTGAAGCGATACTGGCCGCACCTTCTTGCGCGCTGCGCGCGGATCCCAAATAGGGGAGGACGTTTGAGGGGAGACCGGCAAGGCCACTTCATGTGGAAACATATCTGAGCCCAGCATTGGCGGGATGCCTCAAGCGAAACTGGACGGACCACTTCGCTCGCGGCATATGTGAGCCCAAATGCGAAGATGCTTCAACCGATTCAGGCTGCACAACCTCGGGTGCCGGCATCAATGAGGCCTCTTCGGAGGCCTCTCGGAGGCCTCTTGGGCGGTATTGGGGGCCTTCTGGGCCGTCGTCAAGTGGTCATAGGCGTCTTGGGCAGATTATTCTGCGATTTCGGGCCCTTTGGACCGTCTTGGGAAGCCCAATTGGCGGGCCAGAGAACACCCAAGGGACCCCTGGGGCCTCCGGGGACTGGCCAGAGAGAGCCCCACGGGCCCCTTGGGCCGCCAAATTCTATTGGGGGGGGGGGGGGCGCCCATCCCGGGGGATCTCCTGATGTGATGTGAGATAATAAAGATAGGAATATGTGTTGGGGTGTCGTCGGGAGCCTCTCGGGGGCCTCTTGGGGCCTCTTGGGGGCCTCTTGGGGTATCTTGTCGGCCTCTTGGAGGCCTCCTTGGGGCGCGTCTTGGGGGCCCCTTGGGGCCTCGTGGGGGCTTCTCGGGGCACAAACAACGAATGTTCGGTTCGTGGTTCCCTGCTCGGGCCCCTCTTGGGGCCGTTTTTGGGCCCTCTTGGGCGGTCTTGAGCGCTTCTTGGACCGTCTTGGGGCCTTTTCGGAGGCGTCTTGGGCTGTCTTGGAGCGGTCTTGGGAGCTTTTTAAGCCGTCTTGGAGCGTCGGAAAGCCAGAAATGCGAGAAGGCCAACATCCTTCAAACAACATCCGTAAAAGCTACGATTTGGGCCTCTTGGAGCTCTCTCGGGAGGCCTCTTGGAGCGCTCTTGGGGCCTCTTTGAGCCCTCTTGGGCCGTCTTGGAACCGTCTTGGAACCATCTTCGGGCGCCTTGGAGCACTCTTGGCCTCGGCAATGCGAATACAGCCTATTGCGAAGGTTCACGGCTTCGGAGACGCGAATATTGTGTAATGTGCGACGGGCTTGTTGCCTTGCGGACGCGAACATGGCTTACTTTACCAGGATGTGTTGCACCGGGGACGCAACACCTGCGAAAGTTACGAGGGTTTGTGGCCTCGGGGACGCGAGCGAATCTCAAGTATTTTTAAGTGTCCCACGCCCCCCCATGAACTCAGAGATCGCATCCGGGCGTGGTAACCGGGTGGTTTGGGGCTCCCTCTCCTCGCGCGGGCTCAACAATTTACAGTAGGAAACAGAAAGCAGGCCTGCAACACTGGATGCTTGAAACGGTAACTGGCGCAGTGAGCAGCAGCTTCGCCCTACCGCCTGGTGGCCCCGCGAGGGGGCCCGCTGATTTGATCGAACCGGTGCTCGTCAAGAAGCTCTACATGGAGGACGTAGATAAATCTATTGCGTCAGAGGCGACCGCGTCGGCAGTTCAAGACACTACGAAGGCGTCGGCAGATGTTTCAAATGGGTGTTGTGCAATGCTTTGGCGATTGCCGCTCGATGCGCTGAAGGTTCTGGACTCCTTGCCGGCTGCGACGTACGGCTTGGATGGCCTTCTAAAAGATAGCAGTGGACCGCGTGAGGACGTAAGCGCGCCAGTTGTTTTAGGCCAGCAAGGCAGCATGTCTGCTGAAGAGGAGACAGGGCAAGGCAACGTGCCCGCCGACGTGGAGGATGAGAACATGCCGCTATCTTTGCAGACGTTGGCGCATACAGGCAATGACCTTGCTTGACGTTCGAGCCAGCACCTGCGTTGCCGAGCCGAAAGCAGATCCAGCTGAAATTGCGTTCTCTGCCTGCAGACCGCGATGTGGTGTGGAGACGGGTGTACATGTTGCCACGTGCTTTGTCCCACATTGGTTTTGCCTGAGTCCCGAAAGGAATACATGTTTGAACCATTTGGGCCTCTCAGGGGCATCCTTGGGAGGCTCCTTTGCCACCTCGGGCCGTCAGGCGGCGGTCTTGGGGTCTCCAGTGGGCATGCTGGTGGCCATCTTGAACCAACTCGGACCACCTGGTGCCATCTTCGATGCCATCTTGGGCTATCTAGGGCCATCTTATTGGACGCTCTAACCTGTCGCGGGGGAAGGGGGGGGCGTCCAAAGTCCACTGGGGAACTTCCATGATGCGACGCGCCTGATAAGTTTTGCTGCCGCCCTGGATTGAGACCCCTAGAGGTAAGTCCCCATAGGCCTCCGAATGCCTCCGGGTGCCCGCAGAGGCGTAACAGGGGCCAAAAGGAGCCGCAGATTTTTCAAACATGTCGAGAAATTACTTCGACAGTCGGGGGCAAACTTTCCCAGGCGCGACCCCCCTCCCCCAGCGACGCAAATCCTAGGGCCACCCTGCTCGCTATCTCGTCTTGGACCTGGTGAGGCCAGAAGAGTTTGGACAGGGATTCCCACGAGAGGCCACAATGAGTCAATCTTGGAGCTTTCGGTGACTTTCGCTTCTCGCCTTCTCGGCTTCCGATGGCTCCAGAGGGTCCCTGGAGGCGTCCAGTAGAGCCCCAAGAAACTCCAAGAATAGCCACAGCCCAAAGAAGGCTCCAAAAGGCCTCCCCAGATCCTCACGTCCAAGGCCCACTCCAAGAGAAGGCTTCATTCGTGCCCCAAGACGGCCCGAGAGGGGCCAAAGTCTTCAAGAAGACCAATGGAACCCCAAAAGAGTTTCAAAAGGGTGGCAAGAGGCCCCACCGATGTTCAAATCGGAGGCTACGCCCGACAATGATTTGTCATCTGTGAGTCGTCCTTTGTGACCGCCACGCTAGACGTCCTCATGCGAGGGGGGAAGTGCTGCGGCGTGGGGATGTGAGAGGATTAACCCTTAGGTTTTGGAAGGGCTGATCCGCTCCAGTCGAGAATTTTAGCGTGTCGCGCCGCCGGTTTTGGCCCACCACGCTGGGGCACGACACGCCAACCACGCCTTGGCCCCCCCAGGCGTCAACGTCCCGAGCTTTCTTCGCAGCCCCCCGCCCCGCGGAGCGGAGCGACACGCCAGCAGCTCGCAGCACCTAGCGAGTCGCCGGGCCGCCGCCGCGACACGTGGTGCACAGGCGCCTCTCCGTAGCCCACCTACGCCCAGAGGGCCGGTGGGATTCGATGCTCTGCTCCGCTCTCTGCTCGCGGCCTCGGCGATCTCGGGCGGAGCGAGCTCGGCGTCGGCCCTCTCTGCAGCTGCGGGGGCGGGCGCCGGGTCCCGGCACCGGGCTCCCCCAGCGGCCGCCCCGGGTTTGGCGGCGCGCCCGGGGGGAAGGCAGGAGGGGGCGGGATTGCTCGGATGGCTCCAGGGCCGGAGGCCTTTGCAAGGCCTGCGGCCTTCTGGGGAGGCTTCCCGAGCCTCCTCCAAAGAGGGCTTCTCGGAAGCCCTCCGAGACGTCTCGCCGCCTTCTGCGAACAGTGAGACACCGACCCCAGCCCCCACGACTATATGGATTTCACATGTCAGCGTTTTGCATTTGCGGCGGATGAGCGTAAGAGTAGGCGCCCTGCCGGCACTGCCAGCTGCCGCAGGGGGGCCCCGCGCGCGCGGCGACGTCCTGGGCCCGCTTGGCGCGGCCGCGCCCCCCGGACGCATGCTGGTTTTTGGAGCATCGCTCGGGCCTCCAGCGGCCGTCCGGGGCGATCCGGGCACCCCTGGGAAGTTCCCGGCGAGACGCAGCCGCCGGAACGCATCCCGAGTTTGGAATTGAGTCGGGCCTGTCCCGCTGCAGAAAGAATTATCAATAATGGTCAAACATCCTCAGGGGACGATGATTTCTCGACTATGTTTGAACATCTGCGTGTAGTTCTTTACTATTTTTTAGTTTTCGCCCAACATCCGCCCGTAGGGGGACATGCCCGACCTAAGTTTGGAAAACCATGGAACACTCCCGACGACGCCCGAAAACCCGAGCCTTGAGCCCGAAATTCCCAAGCCTCCCCTTCGGCGCGCCGCCAGCGGGAGCTGCGAGGGAGCCAGCCAGGTCGAGCTTCTCGAGCCGTGCTCGGTGCGGTCCGGGCGGGACGAACAGGCAGGATAGGGAATGCGGGGGGTTACGAAATCGTCGGGGGTGGACAGACCTCCTACCCTGACACGTCGATCAGCGAGTTGGCCGTTCTCGGTTCGCGAGAGGGCGTCGCGGCCGTCCTTTCTGCGGGTCCAGGTCCGTCGCTGTCAGTCCCAGGCCGCTGCCACCGAAGGGAGGCCTGCGAAAGTAGGGAGGTCTGTCCACCGCCGGAAGCCAGCTGTGCG